TGGATGAGTGGCTTTACACTTAGAGACAAAATGTGAAATTAATATATCTGTGACATGGTTGGTGTAGCTTTAGTAGCAGACAAAATTAGATAGGGTCATCTTAAATGATTTGGTTATATTAAACGTCGACCATCTGATGATCTGATTAGGAGATTAGATGTTTTTAGATTCAACTTATGTTAAGAAAGGAAGAGGTATACCTCAAATAATGTATAAAAAAATATCTTAATTTATTAGAATTAAATGAAAATATGACACTCAATAGGACATAATGGAGAAAAGGATTCATGTAACCGACCCCACTTAGTGGGATGAAGGCTTGTTTGTTGTTGTTATTATTGTTATTGTATTTTTAGTTCTGGTCTTATTGAATTACATAATTCTAGATATTATTTTAGTTGGTATAATAATCAACTAAATAGTCATATTAGTTGTCTTCTTGATAGAGCTTTTTGTATTGCTAATTAGAAGGATCGCTTTTTGGAATTTTTTTACAAAGTTTTAAATTCTTACTCTTTAGATAGTCATCCAATTTGGGTTTCTTTGGGTAGCCCACTTAATGTGCGTTGTAGATTTAAGTATAAAAATTATTTAGCTTTTGTCCTGAATTTTTAAATATTGTTCAGACTGCTTAGGGATCTCATTTTTTCTATATGTAATAAACTTCGTAATGCTAAAACGGCTTTAAAGGGTTGCATTGGAATTCCTATAATGTTTTCTCTAAGTATATTGTCGATCTTACGGATTAACAAAATTCTATTTTGGCTCAATTGGGGCATATGCCTCTTTCTGGTAGCCTTTTACATAAAGCTTCTTCTATTCAGAAGAATATTTCTAATGCTTCTTATTGTGATTATAAATGGGTCTATCAAAGAGCTAAATGCAATTGATTATCTAAATTTGAAGATGATGTCAAATTTTTGTATCAGAAAGCTAGAGTTTGACATAAATCTAATTTTATTAAAGAGACTTTTGTTAATGGGATTTATATTCATAATCATGCGGATATTGTGAAAGAAAATATTTCTTTTTTACTCTAATCTTCTTAATGCTCCTATTTCTAATAATCTTTCTTTGGATGATAATTTCTCTACTAATTTTTATGTTAATAATGAAAATAAGTTCTTTGGACCCAAAGTGTTTTTGATACCATATGGTTTTAGATCTAAATTCCTTAACCATGTTTGGATTATTGTTCGTAATGATCGAATTTCTGCTATTAATTATTTCTTCATTACTTCTAAACTCCCCAATTGGGTTAAGTATTCTTCTATTGTTCTGATTGCTAAAAGTAATATTGTGAATTCTTTTATGGAATATTGTTAGATCTCTTTATGCAATACCTTCTATATAGTTATTTCTATTTTGTTGGTTGAGATACTTAAAATCATTCTCCCTAAAATTATTCATCCTTCTTAGGCGGCTTTTATTAGCGACCGTGACATCGTTGATAATATCAATTTAGCTAATAAGCTTATTTATCGTTTCAATTCTACTAATTGTGCTAAGATGTTTTGTGCTAAAATTGATATTCATAAAGCTTTCAATAAAGTTAATAGAGAATTTTTTATTAAGAGATTACATCTTATTGGTATCCCTAGCAAATTTATTAAGTGGATTTTATCTTGTATTTTTTATGTTTATTTCTCTGATATTATTAATAATGACTTAAAATGCTATTTCTCATCTTCTTCGGGTTTGAGGCAAGGTTGACATTCACTCCTTTACCTTTTTTCTATCATTATGGACTCTCTCTTTGTTATGTTGGATAAATAGATGGATGATTTTGGTAATACTTATTCTACTAAACATCTGATATATACTGATGATATTTTTAATTTTAGCCAAGCCGACACTAGTCATACTAAGTTTATTGTTGATTCTTTTAGTAATTTTGCTGAAGTTTCCAATCTTCAAATTAATTTCTCAAAGTCTAATATTTCTTTCTCTAAAAATATTGATACTAATCTTCAAAATTCTATTTGTAGCTTATGTAATTTTAACATCAAAGAGTTGCCTTGGACTTACCTCGATATTACTATTTAATCTTCTAAATTAATTATTAATGATTGTAATAAACTTTTAGATAAGATTAATTTATGGTTGACTGGTTGGAAGATAAAACTTTTATCTATTGTTGGTCGTTTACAGCTTGTTAAATTTACTATTAAGAGCTATCTTTATTATTGATTTCACTCCTCTTTATTACCCAAAGGTCTAAGAAAGCGGATTTCTTCATTGATTTCTAACTTTCGTTTAAATATTGATGAATAAAAAGATTCATACGATTTCTTGGAAAAAATTTTCTCCTCGTAAACATTTGGATGGTTTATGTTTTCCGTCTTTGGATAATTTTAATCTTAGTACATTCAAAATTATTTGGAAATGTTATAATTACTTTCTTATTGAAGTTAGTGACTTTTTAATCAATATGGATCTATCTGACAGAGAGCTAACTATACTTCTTCACTTTTTTGGAAAGAACTTATCAGAATTGATTTTAAATTTAGATTTCACATGAATTTTTATGCTACTAATGATTCTTCTTTGTTCTTTTTTGATCATTGGTTAGATGGTACTCTCTAGTGGAAATTAATGATGATTTGGTCATTAGTTCGTTTAATCTTTCTCTTAAAACCAAGTTTAAGGATATTGTTTATCATGCCAATTTGAATTTCCCTTTGAATCATGTTGCTCCTTCTATTTGCATTGATTCAATTAAAAAGATTTCTATTACTAATGGCCTTGTTCATGGAAGAATGATATGGTTTTTTCCCATGAAGTTGTTTATCATTCTCTTTATGATTTGATTCCTCTTGTTAATTGGTTTAAAATGGTTTGGTTTAAAGGTTTATCTTTAAGATATGCTTTAATGACTTGGAAAGTCATTATAAAAGATCTTAAGACTATGGATATTCCTTCTTTAAGAGATATGCATATAATTATAATTAGCTTGCTTTATAACTTTATATATGTATATATAGTTACTTATATACATATACATGCATGCATATATATACACACACACATATACATATATATAGACACAAGCATATATACTTTTAAAGTTATAAAGCAAGCTAATTATAATGACATTAAGATTAAGAGCTAAATTTGTATATAAAATGAGTATGTATTTGAAGCATAAACAATCATTTTAAAGCAATATTTTGCGGAACATCTTATAACAAGTTTCAAAATAAAATAATTAAATAACTTTTATTAAAGATATAATTAGTAAAAAATCAATCATAATTTTAATTTAAGCTTATCAATAAAATCGATAAGAACTTGAGCTTTGCAATTATTTTGATTGTCATCATCATCTCGAGCTCCATGCTTCCTTAATATAATTGGTCTAGTGATCCTGAAATTTTTCATGAATAAAAAATTAAATTCACCAATCATGTGTTATACTAAATTCAATATAGTTTTTCTTCTTTAGCATCCAGAAAGTATTATTCCAAGTTGAGCAATCTCAAATGATTTATAAAATAACAAACTCGAAAAATAAACATTGAAATTTGTAGAGACACAGGCAAATACTTTGATCAAGAATGTTATTAGAGGATCATCACTTACAATAAGATTTAATTAACTATAGAAGCTTATTCGTAAAGAAGATATGTACACCATTGTGGCAAATCTCTGGTTCTAGTAATTAAATTTGTTATAAAAATATTTGTATATTTTGAGATAATATATTTCTCTAAATAAAAAATTATAAAATTTATGCGGTATTATATATCTCACAAAAGAGCAATAACATGATAATTTAATGCTTCAAAAAAGCTTTTATAAGGAAAAGAGGAAACTCAAATAATCCCTTAACTCCAAAACATAAATAATACTTACACAACTCAACTTTTTCAAAGTCTTGTAAAAAGGAATTGTAATCATTCATTGTAGATCCCAAATTATGGTGGATTTTCAATAAAATTTGTGTAACATTGCAGTTTAAGTAACATATATTTCCAAATGATAGTAACTAAATAAATCATGAAAGTTCTTGGACTTCACCAAACAAGGCATATGAAAAAGATAACCTCAAATAATTGTTGCTGCATACTAGAAAATCCTTGATGGGAGAAAAATCTTAAACCTTAGCCCAGTGTAATTTTCCAGCACACATATATAGAAGTGGAAGGAACAATCAAATTTTTTATGTAAAAAAGCCTCAAAAAAGGAGAAAATTTACAAAGTTCTCTCAATGTAATCCACTAGAAAATTGAATGTATAGCAAATGCCTATTTTATTCTAAATTTAGAATCATGGGATTGCTGAATTTGACAATCATTGAAATATAATAGTAGTTTAGCTTTAACAATCACAGATGAGCTATAACATTTGTAGTTGGAGGATATAATTGACTATAAAAATCATTGTTGGTGGCTCCAACATCAATTAATAGTTGTATGCAGCAATTACAGGTGGTGATCCTTTAGTTACCCTTCTCTTCGAGAGTTTATTATACTTTAATTAATTGCTAGCTTTTCTCTCTTCTCTACCCCATTCATATGAAGTGAATGGTGGCAGGTTTATAATTTTTTTGGTGGGGAATTTTGACAATATTGGCCGACCTCTAAAAACACTTCATCAAGTGATCCACGTTGATTCTTATAATCGCATGACAGTTTTTTTTTCAACACTTGAGTATCTTAATGACCTCAAAATTAAATGATCACGAGCTTGTTAGATTTCTCTAGTCGTGTTGCTCAATTTGACTATAAGCATGCCAAATTTATATAATATTTTTGCCTTACAAATTAATGCACTAAAGCCTTCAAATACACTTCAAGTGTTTGATCGATGGTTATTTAAACTCAGATTTGATCATTTTCATCGTCATTAGACAAATATTTTTGAGATGCTTAGTTTAATTATAAATTTATTGAAATTGGAGCTTAGATGATCCCAACTTCAAGTTTGAAAATTCTGTTAGATAAAATGCATTGATCAAGATTTGTGCCTTGATTATATAATTATTGGTGACATATCAATTGTCAGAAAATATTTCTCATTTAAGTGATGCAGTTATTATGAAATATTACATAATACTTGCAAGCGATGTTTCTTCTTTATTATTAATAATAAAGTTTAAAATACATTATGTCATACTTTTATAGCAAACTTGTAGTAGGTATCATCCCTCCATCATTTTCTTAGCTTTATGCTCTCCAAGGCATTCTTCCCATTGAGTTTACTTGAAAAGTATTCTGCTGTATATTCTTTTACGCTTATGGTCTTATAGAGCTCCCCTTCAGCATTAACGAGCCCAGGAAAAGGACATAATGTAGCATCAATGCTCGGTGAATGAAATGTAGCTATCGATAGCCTCTCTTCCTCCATATTTATAATGGCCCTATGCTCTATGCTTTTATACTTTCCATTTGTCATTATCTGTTGAGAAGATAAAAGAAATTTAGATGAATAACAAACCCACATAATAGTTATAGTAAATCAACTTAATTCAAAAAAAAAATTGGGAAAGTTAGGGTGCGTTTAAGGCAACTTGTGCTTATCCAGATAAACCGCTTATCTAGAGACACAGACAACGGAGTTTTACCCGTGTTCCGCATTTAGTGTAAAAAACCAACTGCATTTTCAGATAAGCTGCACAAACATTATTTCTAAACGGTGAGATGACGTTTTCAAAATGCTGTGTAGCAGATAAGCTGCCTAAATGGAGCCTTAATTTGAAGTTGTGAACCATTTCAATATTCTACCTCCATGGCATCACCAATGTTGATGATGAGAGCTCTTGGCTGTGGTTTTATGAGAAACCATTTGTCATTTTTTTTAATCTGCAGACCATCTACATCATTTGCTTGCAGAAGCACTGTTAATGCATTGCCATCGCTGTGTGGGGAGAGACCCAACACCTTTTGAGCATGCTTGCATGGTGGATAGTAATTTATCCTTACAGCCTGCAGCTGTTCACGTCCAAAACTATCAAGAATCACTTGGGGATCAACCCCCAAATCTTTAGCCATCAATCTATACAGACAGTCTGCAACTCTGGCAATCATTGTTGTGTATGCATCCAGTGTATCCCTATAACATAGAACAATTAGAACTAAGGGAAATTATGGAACATAGCAGACAGCAGGAAGAAATTGCAGGCAACAGGAAGAAGGGAAAGAAGAAGGAGAAGATGAGGTTTATTGTAAAATTAAGAAGACAAAAACTCTGAAATAGAGCTAATTATTTCATTTGATCACTAATTTTGCTTAAAATAAAATACTGAATTTTCTTATGCAGCCTAATTTCATGAGAAATATAGTGGATTTAAAGGGGACCTGAATGTGGTGGGATTAGCGGGCCAAAATCTGATGTCTCTAATTACAAAAGGTTGGGTGTTCAGAATAAGAGCATCCCCCCAATCTAATTTTTGTTCGTCTGAATGCACAAACATCTGACCATAACCTTCAAGATGTCCAGGCAACTGTTTTACAGCCTCTTTTTCCTTCAACGGGAGCTTGAAGAACTTCATAATATCATCCTTTGTCTTCTCTATCACTTCCTCTGGAACTCCATGATTTACTAGCTGAATATTAAACATAATCAAAATCAGCAAAAAATTAATTTGGAAAAAAAATTAAATAGAAATGAGCAAAAAGCAAAGAACATGTATGAATACCTGGAAGAAGCCCCACTCCCTGCATGCAAATCCAAGCCTTGAGAGCTCCTCCTGATTGATGAGCTCTGGATCGAGGAGCTTCGTTAGATCGATTACTGGGAGCTCAACATCGTCGCCGTAGGCCACCGGATTTCCTTCGGCTTCCGGCCTGAAGTATCTCTTTGGGACCTCGCCGGATTGAGCGAGCTCCTGCACATTGAGCACTGGCTTGGTGCTAGCTAGCTCAAGAACGTTTATCGAATTGGAACTCATTTTAGCCTCTCTGTCCACTCTGTCCTGCTGCTCTCCCCTGCACTTTATATATATATATATATAGTCATA